AGAAAAAACTCTACTGTCTTCCTCAACTGCTTTGTCTGGTTTTCGCAGAAAGTACTGTGCATTATTCGCACTGTTGAGAGGAGGAAGATCAATACTCTGCAAGAGCTTCCAGACGATGACAGGCTAAGTTATATCTATGAATAAAAATAAATTAACAGTGATTCCTTCAGTCTTCTGTATCTACACATTGAAAAGCACATTTCTTAAAGTATGTTAAAAACTATTATGAAGAATTATTTTTGGGCCAGATACTGTGGAAAACACCTTTAATTTTCATACCCAAAAGGAAAAGTGGCTAACAATCTGTGGACAGAGGACAGCCTGGTCCACTCAGTCACAACTAGTAACCCCAGAACTAGAAATAGAGACCTTGTCTTAAAGAAAACAAAACATCCGTGTGATAGCGAGGCAAGGCCAGCTCAGGTACACGCTGCACTGCTGCCCAAGGACCTAGCTGGGGACATCCCTGTGGACACCTGGGATCCCCTCAAAAGCCAAGTCTCTTGTCAACCCTAAAATGGCTCCCTTAATGTAGATATCTTCTTCCCTGCTCCTATATCCGCCCTTCCTCCATCTCCACCCTGCCACTCCCCCAAGCTCTCTCCAGTCTTTCCTTTCTCCCTTCTCTCTCCCCATCCCCCCTTCCCCCACTCCCATGCTCCCAACTTTTGCCCGGCCATCTTGTTTCCTTCCAATTAACAGAAGGATCTATATATGTTTTTCCTTGGGTTCACACTGTTTATCTCGAATATCACCATAGAACCTTCGTCCGGCTACGGATGGAGATAGAGACAGAGACCCTCATCAGAGCAACGGACTGAGCTCACACGGTCTAGTTGAAGAGCAGGAGGGAGAAGATAAGCAAGGAAGTCTGGGCCACAAGGAGCTGGTCCACCCACGGAGACAGTGTGCTTGAGCTAATGAGAGCTCACCAAGTCCAGCTGGACCAGGACTGAAAGAGCATGCGATCAAACCAAACTCTCTGAATGCGGCTGACAATGGGGGCTGACTAAGAAGCCATTGATAAAGGAACTGGGACTTGTTTCTACTGCCTGTACTGGCTTTTTGGGACCCTAGTCTATTTGGAAGCAAAGCTTCCTAGTCCAGGATGTAGGGGGGAGGGCCTTGGACTTCCCACAGGGCAGGATTCCCTGCCCTCTCTTAAAGAGGAATGGGGAGGAGGGTGAGTGGGGAAGCAGGAGGGGAGTGGGAGGAGGGGAGGAAGTGTAAATTTTTGAATGAAAAAAAATCAAAACTACTGTTCACAAATATTAATGATACCAATTAGCTAAGAATATTCTCATGCTTTCAATCCTGCTGTAACGCATACGTTCATCCTCCTTTTGCTTTTTTCTATGTAGATAAAGAAAACATTCCTTGGTGGAAATAATTTAATAATATCTGAGCTATTCTCCACTAACCTGCACTGTATGTCTTCTTGCAAAGCAACCATCATTGCTAAATGCTGGTCAGTTTCTGGCCGGTTAGCAGATTCTCCTTCACCTCTTAGAGGATCATGCATCAATTTCAGTTCACTTTCCCAAGGTAAGATACAGGTATGCCCATAGTAAAATCCTAAAGGGATCTTTGCTCTGGCATTTGTGCTTCCATAACGTCCAATAACAGTTATCTGAAATGAAGAGTTGAAAACAAGCATACACATATTTAATATAATTTTTAAAAAATCTGAGCTTTATATTTCAAAAAATACAGACTTGCTTATTTGGCCATATGCTAATAAATGTGGAAAACATACACATTTACTTTAATGAAGTTCTTTACCTTCATGAACCTGCACACAGGTGGTGGTATTAAGTCATGAAGAATTAGTGAATGGGTACTTATATCAGTTGCCACTACCAAACGCCTTCCATCCACTTCTTCTCCTAATGTCCATATGTCAATTGATAAGGAAGCCAAGTCCCCACAAGTGGGAAAAAGTACATCTGTCAATAGTATAGGTCTCCCAAAATCCAGGGTCACAAATCTCCTTGCTCCTATGAAGGAAAAAAGAAGCAAGTGACCCACAAAACAAAAGATCAAATAACCAAATTATATACTCAAAAACAGATTAAAGATTATTCTAAAAAAATCAAGTTATTAAACCATAAATAAGTAGAAAACTTATTCATAAATTCTCTAATTGCTTAGTATATAAGACTCAAGATTTGATCCCTCACCAAAAAATCTGCTAGAGTTTTAAAGGCCTGACATCAAAAATTTTAAGACTGTTAATACAAAAGCAGTCAACTATATAAATATAGCCTTAAAGTTATTTCAAACATTATAGTTTAACAATTAAATCAGTGAATATATTCAAGGGTACACATATAAAGTACTAATCTGTCTTTTATTCAGAGACTGAAGACTTTTTGTCTAAATTTCACCATGCCAAGATACATTATGTAACTTCATTTGTGAGAGTCCTGTTAATATCTAGAACAAGAGTCTAATATATGATGTCTAATATGTAGTAAAGTATAGATGAAATTACACAGTAACAGTACTAAAATTCATATTGAAAATTCATATTAAAAAATATGAAGCAGCCGGCAGTGGGAGCACACGTCTTTAATCCAGCACTTGGGAGGCAGAGGCAGATAGATTTCTCTGAGTTCAAAGCCAGCCTGGTCTACAGGACAAATTCAGGACAGGCTCCAAAGCTACACAGAAAAACCCAGTCTTGAGCCACATGGCTAACACAGACAAGAATTATGGGTTACTGTAAGATGTAAGAATTAGTTAATAAGAAGACTGAGATAATGGGCCAATCAGTTTATAACTTAATGTAGACTCCGTGTGATTTTCTTTGGGACTTGCCGGCTGTGGGGAACCGGGTGGGACAGAAACCCCAACAAGCTGGCCCTCATGTTACACTCATAGGTAAAAAAAAGGTTCCACTGTCTAATTGACAGAGGGGCAGATAGAACAGTGCTCCGAAATGAGGAGGTACCTCCTGACTGGGAGCTTGTGGCTGGATCCCCAGTATTAGGGGTGGGAGGCAACTCCAAGTCCAAGGAAACAGTCACCCTCATGAGGTGGACTAGCCTGGATGGGGAGCCAGGAAAGATACGTCCCTTGGTGGCCAAAAACCTCACAGCCAACCTCTTGGGACAAGACATGCTAGGACAAATGGACATGGTGGTCACCACGGACGACAGGGCCTTTTACGAGGACATTTCAGATGAGAAAGAAGAGCCTTTGGTCGAGCTGCTTGAGAATTCTTTAAAGTTTACTTTGTCTGTAAACTATGTGTCACAAGATCCAACCCCTATTCTTCCTCGGTAGCTGCACATTATTTTTCTTCCAAGTTATTATTTTTCTTGGTGATCAGCAAACTCAAACTTTTCTACCCATGCTACTTCAAGTAAATGTGAATGGAATGTGTCCCCGGGTCTAGATTAGATCAAAGGTGTGAGGAAAAATCCACAAGCTACAATAAGGATGCTCTACAAGAACTTGACATACTAAAATAAAACATAATGGCCACTTGGTAAAGGAAGAAAACACCAGGACAAAAATTTCAGTTGTAAACGGAGGCGCTATACATTTAAAGACCTAGAAAAATATGTCAAAGGTTTGGATGCTTTGTCTAAGTGCAGTTTACAGAAATGTATTAATAATTACTAGAGATGCTGGAACTCTAGCAGCACCAGAAAATCAACTTTTGTGGGTGGAAACAGCCTCGAACAGGTTCCAGATCAGCAGGGTTAACCTTGGAGAGGGGAGGGAATGTGCGAGAGTTCACGAGTGAGTGTGCAGGGCTGGAGGAAGGAAAGTAGAAACCGGAAGTCTAAGAAGAAGGGAAGAAAAGATGTTAATCTCTCAAGGATAATGACACTCAAGGATTGTCTACACTGAAAATCATATCTAAAGTTGGTTTCAGGACCAGGAGACTGTATTGTTAGAGGGTTACCAAGGTAACTGGAAAGACAGAAGAGCAGCCTCAGCCCAGCAAAGAATGACCTAAGTCAACACCTGTGTTTGCTTTGGCCCAGCCCATGACAAGGTTCAGCCTTTATCTCAGTCCATCCTCACTAGTACCTTGAGAAGCAGGTTAAACACATCCAGGGCTGCTGTCTGAGGTGTAACCAAACACTCTTATCTTTGAGGAGGATCAGGCCTTCGAGAGAGGGTGACTTGGCTGCATTCCTGAAGCTGGGCAGGGGCTCCAATGTTGATTCCCTCTTTGTCAAGGCTCCTCTGTTCTATAGCTGAGCAGCCTCCATTTGCTCTAGTCTGGTAGATTCTACTCTCTTACGTGCTTCTGTGGGAAATCAGAATGTGCCTCTCCAAGGAATGAAGGAATATTGAGCTGCAGGTAATTTAGAAGAAATGAATATAGGAGTGTTCTCTATCTCCTCCACATTTGTCACACAGTAGGACTTAGATTTATAAAGATGGACTTGGACCTTCTCTGGCCCCATCTTTAACTAGAGAAGCAAAGGTTAATCATGGAGATAGTTTTTGGCCCTCTGGGTCTGGTGACAGTATCGGGCAATTTACATCACGCAGGTACTAACCAGCTTTTTTCTGCCTTTTATTTGCCTTCCCCAAAGCTGCCACCATGATCTCATAACCTTCTTACTTCCTTATAAATGCCCTCTTCTTTTCTGATGAGTAAAATCCAAAGCAATCTTAAGGACTGCTCACTTCCATCTCATGTGTGTATGAAACACATGACAAAATGTGTCAATGAACTCCTGTCTCCTCTTGAACTGTCTGTAGTAATTAGTTCTATTTCAACTTAGTGGAAGTTTTTTTTGTTATTGTTTTGCTTTGTTTGTTCCATACTGTTCCAACATTTTTTAAAATGGTCTTTGTTTTGTTGTTGTTGTTTTGTCTTTCTTTAAGGGTTTGTTCTTGTCATAGAATAAAAATGGTCACGTCTTGGAAGTGTGTGTGTGTGTACGTGTGTGTGTGTGTGTGTGCGTGCGTGCACACGCATGGATGTGAGTGTGTGTTTGTGTGTGTGAGCACAGACCCACAAATACTGTGACACTCAGATCAGCAGACAACTCCCGATGTAAGTCTTTGCCTCTCCTCTCACTTGAGACATGGTCTCTTTTTCTCTGCCCAGTGCTGTGTACTTCAGGTGATCTGGCACACATGCTTCCGGGGTCTCTCCTGTCTCTCTCCCCAGTCTCCCTGTAAGAGCACTGGAATTAGTTACAGACGCCTGTTTCTGAGTTCTGAGGCTTCAATCTCAGGTCCTCACTCTTGGTCATGAGCATTTTATCCACTGGGCCATTTCCCAGCCTCCTCTTGGGACTTCCTTATCTGTAAAGGACAACTGCTTGGTTAGACTTCGGTCCTAAGCAGGATTATGGGTTCTGTGGGACTGGGAATCTCAAAGACCCGGATTGTGCAGCTGATGGTATCCAGCAGCTGCTTCTTGTAGCTCTTCGTCCACAGCTGCTCACATTCGGACAAGGAGATCCCAGGAGACAACATCTTAACTCACAAGAATGACTGCACAATGCCTTTCGATAAAGCAATGCATAGATATGATGGATATTTTAAAGTCACAGAGACTTTCCAAGCCTTTCATTGTTTAAGAATGCCCAGAGCTCAGGACACAATAAACCCAAATACGTTATCTCAGCAATAAGAACAAAGCAGAAGCAAGAAGGTCATCCCTCATGGTTATCAGGTGCAAAGGGTAGCGCATTCTCCCCTCAAATGGGAAAACCCAGAGTCAGTCCAACACTGAATCTAAGCCCAGCTCAGCCGGAACTATGAAAGGATCCCTAGTGGTTGGAGAAAAGCTAACATTCCTTGGAAACTTGTGAAACTGGTTCTCATCTGCCAAAAGAAGACATTCCCCCTACCTGTGGCCGAGAGAGAGACACACGGCTCCATCAATATCTACCTGTGGCTGCACGTGTCTTCCAAGCTTCCTCAGTTCCTGCTCACAAGTACTTGTACATTTCAAAGTCTCCCCAACTCCCCAGTCTCCTGGTCCTTCTCTCCCCACAGCTACTCAGCTTCCTTCTAACCAGACATCTGCCTTCTGATACAGATGCTTCAGGTGCCTCTGAGTGTTGTCTCTCTGATAATGGAGTGGTCACGTCGGCAGTTTGCTTACTGCAGCCCTCACATGCAACGTTCTCCTACACACTTCATAAACCAAAGAGTGATCATGGCCAGTTCCTCTGAGCCTCATGGGATGCCAAAGTGGATGGGGAAAGCCCACAAGACCTCAATGGTACACAGAGAATGCAGGCCACTGAGGAAAGCTGGGAGTGGGACTGGGCTCTTCTGAAGGGAAGAGCGCATGAATTGGTTGTTCAGTGGCGAATGTCAGCCCTGAAAACACACATACAAGTAACGTTATGTGGATCAAGCAGATTATATTTAGAAATATATATGTGTATACATATACATATATACATGTAGCAACAATTAGTGAAAAGAGAGGGCATGGATTTGAAGGAGAGTGTGTAGGGGTGTATAAAAGGGTTTGGAGGGAGGAAAGCGAAGAGAGACATGAAATCATACTATAACCTCAAAAATTAAAAAACATCTAAAAATTAAAAAAGGAAGAACATTATGTGAGATGTTTCCAGAAGGAAAGGAACTGAGAACAGCGATGAAGAAATGTCAAGAGGAGTCCAGCTAAGCTTTCCTGTTTATTAGTCAAAGCCTCCCTAGCCATTTTTCACCAAATTCAGTGCAGGTTGAGAACCTTAAGCCAAAAGTACAAAATCTGAATGCACCTAAATCTGAAACATTTTCAACACTAACATGCTATCACAGTGGAAGATCCCATACCTCAAAATCTTGCTTCATATATAAAATCATTTTAAATTGCTTTCAGACTATGTGTATAAGGTCTATACTAACTATAAACGACTGTCATGTTTAGACTTATCTCTGGGGTATTTTATTATTTTACATTCCTCTACTCTACAACCAAAAAATAATCTGAAATTCAAAATATTTCTGATCCCAAGCACTCTAGGAAAGGAACACCCAAGCCTCATAAAATATATCCA